CCACATTTCTTGACACTAGTTGAAAGTAGGCTCTAATTTGATTGTTTAGAGCCTAGGCTCTATACAAACCGTAACCTTTCATAAAAGGGTGCGGTTTGTATAGAGCCAAGCTCTAAACAAACAAAGTAAAACATGGCTTCAAATAGTATCGAGAAATGTGGTTTCAATATTAAAATTTTTTGTGATACCCTTAAAATATATTTTCATATTTAATTATAAAATTTAAAGCTTAAAAAATAATGTCAATTGAGTAGATCTATGAAAACTTGAAAATCTTGAAAATTGACGGTCTAAAAACGCATTACAAGATGCACTATTTCTAAAACTTGAAATCTATTTTTTCTTATGTCCATGCATCTTGATGTCGAGATTATCAATTTGATGATATTTGAGCATCAAAACAACTTCTTCTAGTGAATTTTTGAGGTAGACTCTAATTTGATTGTTTAGAGCATCGGCTCTATATAAAGATTAACATTAGGGATTGTCTACAAAGAGACAATCAAAACAACTTCTTCTAATGAATTTTTTGATGTGGGCTCTAATTTGATTGTTTAGAGCATTGGCTCTATATAAAATTTTTCTTTTTATAAATAAGATTGTTAATATTAGGGATTGTCTACAAAAAGACAATTTATCTTTTGTACATTGAGGTCACACTCATTCTCATTTATTAGATGTCAAAGTGGATGGCTTGAAGTGAGTTACGAAATCCCGAGAATTTTTTTTGAACTTAGTATTTATTCAATGACAACCTTACAATCACCTATTTTGAAAAGAATAAAAATGATTGTGACATCGATGTATAAAAAATAAATGATCTTAACATGATATAAAATTTTTCCTCCCACACAACTTGCTATTATCACCTACCTTTATGCTATGCTACGCTGAAACATGGTAGCATTACTACCAGGCAGTAACTTTACTCTTTTCATTCCAATCCAGGCAAACCATGAGAATAGCAAATCAATTCAATTATTTTTGGAGGCTATCAAAACATTTTGAGAGAGAGAGAGAGAGAGAGCGCAATTTATCTTTTCATGACCAATGATTTAAAAATTGGTCGAGTAGAGTAGTATTTACTTGGCCGAGTTATTCGGGTTTGAGCCTTTGCCGAGTCCGAGTTAGTGTCCAAAGGATATTTAAAAAAATTAAAACGAATAGTAAAAATTTAAAAAATAAGAAATTTATTTGGAAAATATTTTTTTAATGTTTTTTTTTATCATTTTTGACAAAGGTTGAAAAATGTTTTAGCCGTAAATACTTATGTTTACATTTTTTTCATTTTTTTAGATTATTTCAAAAATATCCCCATCACAAGTTGATATTTTTTAAATCTGTTTTGTTACTACTTTTTTTGAATCATTTTGAAGTGTTTTGCTTAATTTTATTTTAAACATACATTTCCTGTTTATTTGAATTTTTTTAATACTCAATACTAATCAGCCGGGTTACTTGGATTCAGTTCGATTGATCGGCTCGGGCCAGGGGGACCAATTTCTTGGCCTGATTTGCACTTCCTAACACTGCTTACGACAAACTTCTATTTTTCTAGGATTAGCAGATGAGATGAGAGAGAGATAGAGAGAGAGTATCCTCTCATAACAAAAATTTTAGAAAATTATGGCAGCCACTACTAGTGAGCATATGAGATGGAAAGGGGACATATTAGTACCCTCTTTAATCCCCTATCGTTAAAATACATGCACAAATCCCCTATTGTTAAAATACATGCACCTTTGAGAGAGAGACTTTTGTCCCACATCTATAAGACATTAATCCAACTTGCTAATGCTCACAATTACATATGTATGACACAAGAAAACCCCAGTTATAAGGAAAACTATGACAAAGCAAATGCTTATAGTGAAGTACACAAACTGCTACATCCAAACAAAGGAAGAGGTGCCTAGATATCTCTAGTGTTGGATTTGAGACAGCATGGCAAAAACATCCTTACTATCTGGCCTCTGCTTTGGATCATCAACGGTGCAAAAGCATGCAATCTTGAGAACCAACAACATTTGCTTCTCAAATCCACACTCTAGAAGCTTGGGATCAATGGCCCGATTTGGGGTATCCGAGCCCATCATGCTCCTTATCCATTTCACCATCCCAACCTCATCTGTTTGTGCAAAGAATTCATCGGATGGTTGCCTCCCACTCACTAGTACTACCAACACAACCCCGAAGCTGTAAATATCGCATCTGTCTGTGAATTTGAGTGTTTGGTGGTACTCTGGCGCTATATAACCAACAGTTCCGGCCACATTGGAGGTTGTGATGTGCGTGTTGGCATTGTCTGGCATGGTCCTTGCGAGGCCAAAATCGGCTATCCTTGCTTCCATTTCGTCGTCGAGCAGTATGTTAGCAGGCTTCAAGTCTCTGTAAATTACACCATAGATTTTGCGGCTTGTGTAAATGCATGAGTCTCAACAAGTTATTTTCTACAAAAAATTAAAGAAAAGTTCAAAATAAAACTGCATTTTATAAGTCCATTTATTTTTGGTACAAAAAGATTACAATCGCCCCTATCGGGCAAGAGGGTGGTTAAGGATGTGTCACAAAGATCTTGGGAAATTTTCTTGGACATTGGCCACAGTTAGTGGCACACTCCCAGCCATACAATGTCATATCTAAGGGCCAATTTTAAAGGTATTACTGTATATTTTCCTATAATGCATATAATTATGTGTCCTTGATCTATTTTCTTGCTTTTCCCAATTGGGTGGGTGAGGGAAAAACTTTGATGTTCTAATCAATGTCCTCTTTCATCCAAATTGGCTGTCACACCATTGGGACCAAAAGCCACCATTCAACATCTATAAAAAATTACAGATTTTAACTTTCAACCATATAACATTACCCAAAGGAGAGAAAAGAAATCTTATGAGAATTTACTATGATTTTCAATAGAAAAGGCCAAAACATTCATTACCCATTTCGGTAATTATCCTTGGCCTTGCTGGATGTCAAATTTTTAAAAACATTTCTGCTAATTTGTTTAAAATATCTCCCCAACCAAAAAAGCTAAACAAAATTGTTGATATTTGGAAACCCCAAAAAATTGTCCTCTAAAATCTCGAAGACAGAGACAGGTCTCATAGAGATCTGATGACATACCTGTGAATGATTTTAGGTCTATGGTGAAAATGCAAATACTCAAGTCCAGATGCCACACCCAATGCAATCCTGTGCCTAGTCTTCCAGTCAAGCTCCCTAATCCCCTCTTCTGCCTCCTGTAAAACCTTTTGCAAGCTCCCATTCTTCATATACTCATACACCAAGTAGTGGCAATCAATCCTAGCAACATGAGCAATTAGAGGAAGCAAATTCCTGTGCCTAATGTGCCCAACTGTCTCTAGTTCAGCTCTAATTTGCCTCATCCTCTTACTGCACACCTTATTATCTTCTTCCGGCAGTCCTTCGAAAGCGGGTTGAATTATCTTTTTAATCGCGATCATCTTTCCTTCACTTCCAGGAAGTTCAGCTCTGTAAACTTCACCACACCCACCTCTTCCGATTAGCTCCGCAGAAGAGAGGCCATCAGGTGTTTCTAAAAATGCTAAATCCTGCACTCTCTTTATTAATTTTGGACTGTAGATTACAGGGCCTGTGAGTTTGGGCCCCCCCGTAATGCATAAGATGATCAATCTCACGAGGAGAGTGAATAAGATAGCCGATATGAATCCAGCGAGGGTCCCGACTATGAAACCTAGAATCCAGCCTCCAAGGGGTCTGTTTTTCTTCTTTTTTTTGTGGGGGCTTGGGGTAGGAGATGGGGCTGGGACTGTTGAGTTTGTCCTTGAATTGGTTGAGTTGGTTGAATGTGTGGAGTTGGTTGAATGTGTTGAATTGGTCTCTGCAAGTCTGAAGCGACTCGGAAATGGGTTCAAGAGAGGAATATTTCTTTTGGGTTTTAAGTGAGAGATGGAAGAGAAGCATGGTTTGTGAAGAGGGTATCCACAAAGTTTTGGATTACCTGAAAAATCAGATGGGTTCTCTGGCAAACCACTCGGAATCCGGCCCTCAAGATTGTTTTCTGAGAAGTTGACCTCCTTGAGATTAAGCAAACCCAACTGGTGTGGGATTTTTCCAGAAAATTTGTTACCAGAAATGAGTATTTTCTCCAGTTTCAAGAGAGGTTTCATGAAAATCAAATCACCAGAAAATCGATTTCCCCTCAAATCCAAGTGTTTGAGCCTTACCAGACCAGAAACTTCGTTCGGAATTTCACCGCAGAACTGATTTCCCCTCAAGTCAAGGCTCTCAAGCTTCTTTAGGCTGCAAATCTCCAATGGAATCTCCCCGGAAAATTGATTTCCGGCAAGGGAGAGTTGCCGGAGCTCTGGTAAATGTCCAATTTGAGCAGGAAGAGATCCATGTATTCTAAGATTTGGCAAGACCATAGAGACTACATGGTGCTCAGGTGAGTTTTTGCAGGTGATTCCGGGCCATTTACAGGGATTTTCAGTTGATTTCCAGAGATGGGTCAGTCCCAATTCTGATCTAATCGATTGGAGAACTTTGAATTCATCAAAATTTAGGCCATGAGAGGCCAAAATCAAGTTGCAGCAGATGAATAGAATTAGGACTCTAAAACCAACAGAATCTGACGCCATTGATGATTGCTCAGATTCTAAGTTTAGTTCAAGCTAAACAATATAGGCAATTCGCATATGTATATATATGGAGTTAAAAACAAATAATTTGACGGGATATCTTCTCTCCCTTCATAACAAGTAGAAAAACAGTAAGGGACAATATCCGGACAGTGCGTGGAACATTTTCATGGGTGAATTGGACTTCTCTGTTGATTGAAATGCCTGTTTTTTTGGTATCATGTAAAAAGGGTGGCAATGGACTGGGCTCAGGCCCGGGCCAAGACTTCCCCGTAGGTTTAGCCCAGGAAGCCAGGCCTAGCGCTAACGTGTGCTGGCACTGGCACTGGCAATAGCCCGGCCCTACGTTTTTAGTGCTTCGCTAACCCGAGCTGCCCCGGCCGTGGCCAGCCGAAACAGGGGAGAAGGGTAGGATGGGCAGGGTAGAATGGTCCTTTTTGGAAACCTTGGCAGTCAACGTAAATACTTAAGTTTCTTTATGGACAGCTCATATTCATCTCGGCCGTTGTTTTGCGTTGTGAACGGCTGAGATTGGGTTTGGTCCGGCATTGACCATACTTTAGTTTTTTATTTTCTTAATTTTCCTTATTTTGGGGTTTATTACTTAAATTAAACGTGTGGAAATGTGAGTTGAAGATGAGGACCGAATGGGAGAATACATAATTTATTGGCTTTTAGTTGGAAATTTAAGGGGAAAGACTTGGGTGAGTCAAGTCTTCTAAGGCGTATTTGAATGGTCCATATTATATATCATTGGGTCCACAAAAACCTCTCTTTTCTAACGAGTGCGTCCACTTAGCCGGCTAAAAAATGGTCCATTGAGGATTTTGACTTCTCGAGTATGGTACACGTTTGTAAAAACTGAAAGGACGCGGTTAGCATGCGGCCAGTCCGCTGTAGACATGCGCGGCTGGAAATAAATATGTTTTTTAAATATAATTTGATCTTAATTTTTAGAGAATATATAATATTTAACATAGAGATCATGAATATAAAACATTAAATAAATTTAAAAAATTAAAAATAATAATTATATTAAAAAACATTTGGATGCTTGGTTATTGTTTTTAGATGGACTATCTATTTGCATCCACCTTTAAGATTGATATTTTATGCCTCGGACCGCATATTGAAGAAGTACGGTCCAACCTTCCTGAAACAATTGTTCAAACTAAAACTAAAGGGGAAAATTGATATATATATATATATATATATATATATATATATATATATATATATACTATTACTACGACGTACGTACTATATAGTAGTAGTAGTATAGTAGAGGTGTAG